CAAATGTCTAAAGCTATCATACTTTTTGACATATAACAACTGCTCACTTTAAAATAATCATTGTAATGTTGATTTCCAGTTTATTTTTGCTTATAAGTAAATCATTTGGCAGCATATCCAAGTAAAACTTCACATTCTGTTCCTCTGCTAAGAAAAATTCTGCCTGGTTTATGATAATTGATGATATAGTTTGGATAAAATAAACCAAAAATATATTTCACCATGATTTTCTTATACACGACTATAATTATTAAACAAAATTAATATTCTAAAAAGCCTTGGTTTTTTGCTATTAAGGAAAACATCCAATGAAGACCAATTTTATTATCATATGGGAACTAGATTTGACATCTAGTAGGAAATTAGGAAAAATTACTCTTCTTAGGAATAAAAACAAGTATTTAAATAATTTTTCCATTTTATTTTTCATAGCTGAAAACTGAGTAAGGCTGTTGAGTGAGAAGGGCATGCTACAGTATTAGGACAAAATGTATTAAATCAATATGGCTCATTTATATTGGCCTATTTATGAAATTAGCATAAATGAATCGAAATAATCACTCTAAGCAAAATAAGAAAAAGTTGAGAAACATATGATTTCACTCAGAAGTGGGATATAAAACTGAAAGCAACAAATAAACAAAAACTCATCGACACAGACAACAGTTAAGTGGTTACCAGAGGGAATGGGGGGTAGATAAGGTAATGGGGGTCAAATATATGGTGACGGAAAGAGATTTGACTTCGGGGGGGGGTGAAAACACAATGCAATATACAGATGATGTACTATTGAATTGTACACCTGAAATCTATATAATTTTAACCAATGTCACCCCAATAAATTTAATTTTAAAAAATGAAACAGAAAATTATCAGAAATAACCAAATATGTTCAAAAAATACCTTTCTTAATTGTCTCTGGTTAACCATTAAATATTAAAATAAATTAACGAAACCTAAATATAACAAAATTCAATGGTCCTGTAAGGTTTCTTTTCTTTGACCATTTCTGTTATTTTTAGTTCTATTACTTTCTCTGCCAATTTAAATATATCAGTATTGGGGGCAAGATTCTGTATTTAGTTCTTTGCAAGCTTTAATCTATTCCCATCACATCAACTCTTCTTCTTCACCTTTTCATGTATTCCTCTCAAAATGCCAGCCTGCCAAACGTCTCCAACAGAATACTGCAATATACCTCAAATATGAATATGCTTTAAAGTATAGATTATAGTGTCTAGAAGAAACGTTGGTTCAGAATTCAGAGGAGCTTGCAATTCATCATTTCCAGAAAACCCAAATATGCAGAGACTAAATCACACTCTAATTGAATAAAGATTAATATATCTAGTGTACACAGATGCTTTAAAGATTGAGCATGTTTATCTTTGTATCACAAGCATAAAAAAGCAAAAAAAGACTGTTAAATGGCTTTCACCACAAAGACTACGTATTAGACTTATTAATGACTACATATCAGCCTTAATCAAATATGTTTTTTAAAGATCTGAATTTCTGAATTAATGATCAATGCTTATGATCTTTATTGTTTCATATTTTCATTGTAACCCTTAACACCTTTACAAGTTTTTTTATCTGTCTCCCAGGGCAAAAGTGTTTTATAAGGATTAAATCTCATTAATTTTTGTAGTCCCAGCACTTAATATAGTGCCTAATACAAAATGTATGTTGGATGAATTAATCTATATTGCCTATTAGTGAATAAAATTATAGTAACTTTTCTATTAGTAAGACTTTTAAAAATGCTGTGCTCAACTGTGTTAAAAAAATTAGAATGTAAAAGGACTTAATTTATTTTCAAAAAAATAGAAACAGTTCTAAGACTCCATTTTAATATTTATATACCCACTAAAATCTGGTCACTCTGTCAATCGGTCTTAGAATTTATTTGAGTTGCCTTCTTCTCCTAGTGCTGCTAGTTTGTTCTTACCTCAAAAATTCATCACAACTTATTCATTATTCTAGTTTGAAATATAAATGTGCATATTTGAAGAAAACTTTTAATATCTAAATATACTAAAATTATAATTGTTAGACTAATTAGACTAACAGACCAACTAGTTGAAGCTTTTATTGTCTTCTTCATATTTAAGAGACAGAAAAAAGGGGGAAAATACATAAAAGGCTGGCAGGAAAAAAACTACATTTGCTAATTAAAGAAAACATTTGAATAAATCAATGCAAAAAAAATTTTTTAGTCTTCTGGTCCTGCCACGGCACCAGTTAAAATCAAGGTCTTTGGACTTAAAATATTGATGTATAATAATCAACTGTAAGTCATTTTTATTTTTGTGATGTAAACTTCTAAATTCCCCAACCCTGCCTCAAACTTAAGTCTGCTTCTAACACAAATTCCTTGGGTGAGTATTTAAAAAAAAATTGGAAACCAACAAACCATCGCCATCTGCCAAACCTGCTGCAGTGTGGCACAGGGCAGGGACAATGGATGTGATGCAGGAAGTTACTTCACAAATAAACATAATGTCATGGAAATCAGAGCCAGAGAGAACCAGGAAGTAGGAAGCAATCACCCTCATCCCAGAAAGATTAGGAAAGACACATGGAATGAGGCTTTAGTCAATTGTATTTGACTCTCAGATGATAGACACTTTCATGAATATCTGGATTACATGGATTTGAAAGTGAAACATCAAGAAAAATCTAAGATTGTAACCTTAAAAAGGAGGTGTAGGTATAACATTTGGTAAAGAGCTTTGGGGCCTTGACCATTCGTTTTCATATGATGAAGCTGACCCTGATCTGTCATTTTGAGGCGTGGGAGGTGGAGGAGTTGGCTCCTTGAGAAGGATCTGCTGAATCCACTTGGGGGCAGAGATAGGGCAGTCATTCATTCAGCCTATCTTGATTACGTTCCTTTATTTTTATTAGATGATTTCAGCCCTGTTTTGTTTGTATTGGTTGATTTCAAAAGTCAATCTATTGCTTTTAATCAGCAAACTCTATACTCCAGAATCATGCCAGAGAATTTGACCTCATATATTATTGTCTTCTTCATATTTAAGAGACAGAAAAAGACCTCATATATTATTGTCTTCTTCATATTTAAGAGACTTGTCTCCAACTCATCAAAATCGAAGGTACGAAAAGCAACATTCCCAAAAGATGAGAGCCTAAAAGATATGTAGTTTATTCATCTCTATAATTTGTCCAGATTTTACCCCTAGACCAGGCCAAACCATCATTCATCAAGCTGAAAAAATATTTGAAAGTGTTTTGGTTTGTATTTATTTTTTTGGACAAGTCCCTCTACTCCTATAAAATTGCTTTTACTAAATTGAGCTTCGTCATGATGTCCTCTGCTTACTCACAATTGGATTTATGGGTAAGATATATTGAGGAAGTTGCCTCTCACATCACTCAGCTAGCCTCTCATAAGCCCCATGGGAAAAGTTCCTCAGACCTTCGGTGCAAGGAAGAGTTTTGCCTCTCCTATCAAATGACATGTTCTTATTTTATAGGCCATGCAAGTCTCATGAGTACCTGCCCATATAATTGAAATTTAATTCAATTGAACTAATATTTTATTTTTATTTTAGCTCTAAAAAAAAAATCTCTCCTGACATGAATTTAAAATAACGCTATAAAAGACCCACTATTAGAGTAGAATGCTTTTAGTTAAATATATATACGTGTGTGTGTGTGTGTGTGTGTGTGTGTTCTCTATTTTCGGAGAGATTAATTAAACTATGGCCTCTGTGGTTTCTTTTCTTCTTGAAAGAATCAGGTCTCCTTGAAGGTCCCAAAAGGGCTAACAAGAACGCACGGGGGCCACTTAACAACAGGACCACCTAATTTTACTCTGTTATATCAGTTTATCTTCTATGAGTGTCACCTTATCAGTTGACTGCCCTTACACAACTGGGGTCCTCAGATTTCTTGATTAATGATGCCTGGGTTAAAACTTTCTAACATCATCATGGGCCTGCTCTTTGTCTGGTGCCCATCTCTGTCCTGTGTCACCTTACTCCAAACTGCACCATACACCACACCAGGTGCTTCTACCCTGTTCAACCTGGCAAACAAAGAAATGAACTAAAAAGAAAGCAAGCAAGATTTAAAATCTATGAAAAAAAATCAATCCTAAAACTCGGTTTAACATGATACTGTCTAAAAAGCCAAATTGCACTGTATTTGTATTCATGCATTTTATTTAGTATGTAAAATATAAATCGACACAAAATTTCAGATATACTGAAGTCATTAGGGGATAATATTCTAGTAAATATGTTCTCTTTTCTCTGGATATTTACCTTTAGAAAAATCTATCCTGAAATAAACAACTTAAATATTATATTCAAAAACTGTTATTCTCAAGTCAGCCAGTATTTACATGCACTTGCCATCAATGTATAGGTATAAGGAAAATAAATTTTAATATAAGCCCAAGAGACATATACATTCTTAAAAACAACTCTCAAGTGAACTAAAGAATTGTGTTATTTCAGATTATCAAAGTTTCTTCATAGGAGTGGTCATTTGGAGTTACTTCCTAACTCATTCCATGTAGCCAACACTATCCTGATATAAAAATATTATGAAAATTATGAAGAAATTATGAAAATTATGAAAAAACAAAAAACTACAGACCAACATTTCTTATAAATATTGATTTAAAAATCCTCAACGAAATACCTACAAATGAAATTCAACAACAAAAGAATTACACATCATTATCAAATGAGATTTACTCCTATAACGCAAGGATGGTTCGACATATGAACATCAATGTAATACACCACATTAACGAAATGAAGGAAAAAAATATGATCATATCAATGAAGAAAAGGTATGTGATAAAACTCAATACCCTTTTCTGAATAAAACACTTCAACTAGGATTAGAAGGAAACTACCTCAAAATAAGGAAGAATTGTTGTGCTCATACGTACATCATGTTTAGACTAATAACCCTTATCAAGGAAATTAGACCCATTAAAAATTCCCATGAAGTGTTCTTACCTTCTAAAGTTTTCTTGAACTGTATAAACCATACCTTGCAGTAGTCTTCACTAAAGTTAATAAGATCGAGTGTAGAATCCTTTAATTTATTTTGTTCTTTTTTTAAACAAATGAAGAGTGTGATACCCAAGAAAGTACCATTTCTTCGCTGTTTAGCAAAATAACGCCGTTTCAGCTTGACAGAGAATATGTCCTTGAGTTCAATAAATTCTTCTTTACATAGCAAGTCATACTTGGAATCACCTGAAAAGAAATTAAGTTTTCCAATCAAAACCAGTGGTCCATCTTATATGTATAAATAATAAATAGTAAAAATCCAGAAGATATTTCTCATTTGTAATTTTACTGATTGTCATTTATGTCAATCCCTATATAAAATGGGGAGGGAAGAAAAAAAATGGGTCTATTTTCCCCAAAAGGAAAAATAGAAAAATGGAAGAAGTCCTATCACACAAGTCCTAGGACATTTAGAACCTGAGGATATTCAATGTCTGAACAATACCAAGAACACAAAGCAACATTTCAGTAATAATCATTTAGCATCATATAAGAGTACTAACAAGGACAGAATAAAGTAATGCAAAGAACAGAATTCACTAACAGAACTGAGTTTATGACAGGTTGTTGAAGGCAACATTTAAAGAAAATATACATTCCAGGTAAAATAACACATGTGCAAAAAGGAAGCAGAGTAAGATTACTGTGAGTATAAAACATTATGAATTCCTGCTAATCTAAAAAGACCCAATTGAATGTGTCCACAATGATTTTATTTTATAGTGGCATGAAATTTTACTGTTTAACCACAGACCAGAAAATAATTGTAGTAAAGGGCCATTTTAAGTGACTGCAAAGTAGGAGTATCTTATACTTTTTCAAAAGTACTTCTAAAACTTCTAGTTTGGCTAACATGGAATCACAGGGACTGGTTTTACTTCCATCTGAAACAACTCAAAAAACACATAAGATATATGAAACTTCAGTTTTCAGACATTAGTCATGAGGTGGCACAGGACAGTGATTGCTGAGAAAGGGGCAATGAAGGAGCCAGATGATTGCCTCGCCAAATGCCTGGAGAGGATTCCAGGCCTCAGTGCAGGTAGGGGAACCCTGTGGGGCTTGGCAGTATCCCTGAGTTGAGGAAGAGTTAGGACTCCAGGCAATCTAAGATGAATAGAGTTTACTAGGCAAATTACTAAAGAGAGAGCTGCACAGAGAGAGAACTTTGCAGATCTGCAAAGGCATCCCTTGAATCTTCAGCTGAGTATGAATCAGCAGATGTGTGAGGCCAGGGAAGGGACTGAAGAAAATGACGCTCAGAGACGCCACCAGCCAAAGTTCAAAACTACTGAAATTCATGGGACATTAGAGAGAGTACTTAAAAAAGTATTATCTCATTAGTGAGCTGACCAAAGGCTGTTCTGAATCCACCTAACACAGTTTAAAAATGAGCCTCAAAAAGATTGAACTGTTTCCAAGTAACTATAATATAGAACAAAGCTCAAGAATATTTATAGAAATACTAAAATATTCAGTAAGTCTATATGGTAAATATCTCTCAATCAAAAATCACTATGCATATAAAGCAGCAGAAAAATATGACACATAATAGGAAAAGAATTAATCAGTAAAAACCAAAACAGAACCGACACCACTGCTAACATAGCCCCAGAAAGCAGAGGCTCTATCTCAGTATCCTTAGCCCTTAACCAGGCTCAAAGGTCTTCTCAGACTGGAGCAAGGGCTTTCAGGGACTTTAAGAAGTTCCTTCTCTGCATTCTCAGGAAGATTTTTTGGCCTCTCCCAACCATTCTGCAAACTATAGCCCATTTGCTCACAAGCACATGTACCACTTAAAAAGAAACAAAATCTTTTCTCAATGCTTATAGTGGTAGAATAAGATGAACCCAATGTCAATTTTTCAGGCCTGTCATTTCCTCAGAAGGCTCAGGCTTCATGTCTGCCTATAGTCCACACTTATTGCCGCCCAGTGATCTATCTAAAAATCAATGATCTCCAAATATCAATTCAACAGGAAACATTTGTTTTAGAAAACGAATCAACACTATTACTACAATCATCACTTAAACTAATCAATAGAGTGGAAGTACCATATCAGTGTAAGCCAAAATGTTCCACATGCCTTAATGAACTGAGTGATTCATCTCATCCCTTTTATGTAAATACTAACAGATTAACCTATATTGGTCAGATTTACTTTCTCTAGTATAATGGTTCTCAAACTCTTTGGCCTCAGAATCTGCTTACATTCTTAAAGATGGAGGGCCCCAAATAAAATGACTTTTATTTATGTAGGTTATATCTATCGATATTTACTGTATTAGATGTTAAAAATCAATACTTTTAAAACACAAGAATACAAAGCACACACTCCATTAGCCATGAAGGCTATGATGTCACCACAGATCTCATAGCCTCTGGAAAGCTCCACTGTATCCTTGGGAGACAATGAGAGTGAAAATAACAAATAAGATCTTAGTAGAATTATGAAAACAGCTTTGATCACACTGACACCCTGAAAGGACCCTAGACCACACTTTGAGAATGCTTCTTTAGCATATTTTTAATTGTCTGTTCCCTTTGATCATAATAACGACGTTATGACTTAACAGACTCGACTTTTCAGTTAACTAAAATTCCTGTTTCCATTTTGATATTCCAAATTGTCACACACTGAGCAGTGAGAGTTCCTCCAAACTGCCTACTTTGTTACGACCTTCAGATAGCTTTGAAAATAATCTTTCTTTCCTTTAACAGCAAAGTGTTTCAAGCTCATCTGGATTCCTCAAGCAGTTCTAGTTCCTTTTAGGGAAGAATATATTAGAAACTAAAAGCTGGACAGTATGATTTGTATACAAGGGAAATCAAGCCCTTTCACAGTAAATTATCAGTAATGTATTTGTAACCAGTGAGCTTATTATAAGTTATTTGTACTTGCTGAGCAGATAGGCATATGGCCAGGGTCTCTAGAATACTTGAGAGGGACCAGGGAGATCTTACATCCTTCCTCTACCTGCAAGAATGAAACACAGCAGGCCTGTCAAAGGTCCTGACAAATCGTCATTCTATGGCATATAATGAATTATATAGTAAATGCTGCCCTGTAAAGTGGAAAGAAGCTAGCCTTCAATATACAGGTGCTGCTGGGTGTCTGCTTCATATAGCTCAATGTGTACAGGTAAGTTGTACCACTTACCTACCCTTAAAATAATTTGTATCCTAGATTAAATCTGTGGATACTTTTCCAAAAATCAGTTAGTAAAACAATAAAGTTGAATATCTTTTCATTTATTTTTCATTAGCATTTCTTAAAAGTTTTCTCTCCATACAGGCATTTCCCTACTTCTGTTTGGTTGTGTTTCTTACTAATTTGTAGGAATCCTTCAAATATTCTTGAAATTAGTCTTATGTATATGTTGCAGATAACTTCTTCTAGGCTAATCTTATAATATGGGTCATAACCTTGTGTCTCACACAAATTTAATTTTTTTACGTATCAAATGCACAGCAAATACAAGCTCCAAGGAAAGGAGCATGGAAAAAAGAAAGGAAGCAAGAGAGGGAGAAAGGGAGGGAACAAAGAACCACTGAGGGAAAGAAAAAAAAATGGAAGAAATAAACTCTTTTCACTTGAAGTCCTGTATAATACTCTGAATTTTTTTTTTTTACCATGTGTGCTTTATTTTGACAGTAAATAATTCAATGACTATTCTAATTTACAACTTCTTATAAGTCGCAAATTTAAAGATACTAAACCAACAGCCAAGATCAAACTTTGTGGCAAAAACTAGAAGAAATTCTGGAAACAGGGCAAGAATACCTATTATTATTCTTACCATTCTCAATTATTCTGGACATTCTGATCAATCCATAAAGAAAATGAAATAAAAGGAAACCATTGGCAGTGGAAGGGGCCAAAGGGGAGCTGAACTATAACTATTTATAAATGATATCACAATATATTTGTATAATCCAAAAAGAATCGACTTAAAATCATTAGAACTAAAAAGAATACCCAGTAAGGAAGCTGGTTACAAATATATTAATATCCAGAAAGGAGGCAGAATGGAGATAAAGATATTCCATGCAAATTAGCATATTATACCTAGGAATAAACTTAGCAAAATAATCCCTGACTAACATTGGGGGGAATCATTCAAAACATACTGAGACAAAGAATTAGTCAATGGAGACATACCAAGGTCTAAGATTACATATTTTCCAGGCCAGTATTCTAGTTATTAATGACTACTTGTAATGCAATCCCAATCAAAATCTCATTGGTATTTTCTTTGATGTAATAGGGAAAGGAACCTAAGTCACATGATTGTAAATTTTCTTGATTGTAAACATATTACATTAACAAAGAAAAGGTTTTAAAAGTACAGTAATGAGGGAGATTACATGCCTGATCAGATATTTTGTAAATCTATAATAATTAAAATATCTAGGATTATATAAATGAATGGCCCTAAGAAACACTTTTATATATTTAAAAACTCACTAATGTGATAATGATGCCATATAAGTTCAGTGGGAAATATTCATGAAAAGGTGACTTAGAATTGGTTAATCTTTAAAAAAATAGAGCTCTATCTCATAATATACACTAATATTTCTAGATTAAAAAGAACTTTATATATAACCATAAATTAGTAAAGCCTTAAGTACGACAGTATAGGCAGACATACAGAAACTGAGATACTTAACATAAAAGTTATTTAATGTTAAGTATCTAAAGACTCATTAGAAGTCACAAGCAAAGGCCAACTGGGCAGAAATACTGCGACATATGACAGTTAAATAATCTATCTAATCAAGAAAAGAAACACTGTAGAGGAAAAATATGTAAGACTCTAGACAGGCATTTCACAAAAGAAGAAATGCAAATTGACCAATGAACATATGAGAAAGTTCAATCTAATTAGTAATCAAAGAAATGCAAATTAAAACAACAAGATATCATTTTTTGCCTTTTAGATTGGCACAAGATCAAAAATAACGCTCAATGATGGTGTGGGTAAAGGGAACCAGTCCCAGTGCTGATGGAAATGTAAAAATGGTAACTGCTGGAGAACAAGTTGGGAATATGTATCAAACGATTTCAAAATGTTAATTGCAGCAGTATTTATAATAGCAAAACTATTTGAAGCAATATTCATGTTCTTCAATAGGAGGATGGTTGAATCACAGTCTTCCACAGCTCATAAATGAGCAAGTTA